CCCCTATATTTTCTCTTTGTGTGTTGACATCAATCACCCAGGCCTGAAGAAGCAGACTGAGGAGCATTTAGCCTTGGTAGTGCTGAACCACTGGGAGGAAATCCCCAGAGTTGGCTGTAAGCTCGTTCCTGAACATGCGGAAACCAGACCTCTGCTGAACCCCGACAAACCTGGAATCGAACAGGTATGAAGAAGCAGTTACCACCATCAGGCTCACAAAACAGAACAATTTAACCATCACAAACTTTTTTTTTTTTTTGCCATTCAAGGGTCGCATTGAGATGTGGGTGGACATGTTTCCCATGGACATGCCTGCTCCTGGACCTGCAATCGACATATCACCACGGAAACCAAAGAAGTATGTGCTGATGGGGACAGTCAAACAAATCACACTTTGAATATCATGATTTCTTTTTCTGATCATTTATAATCCTGATAAAAATTAAGTCAGATGGAGATTTGAGATTTTTTTGTAAACCAGAATTTGTATTTTTATCCCCAGCTGAGGTTATGGTAAGTCAGTTTGACCAGTTAAGTTTAGATTTATATACATTTAAATTAAGTACAACTGTGTTCCTTCCTCCTCCCCTTACTAGATATGAGCTCAGGGTGATTATTTGGAATACAGACGAAGTAATTCTGGAGGACGATGATTACTTCACTGGGGAAAAGTCCAGTGACATATTTGTCAGGGGGTAGGTACAATGAGATAAGGCAGCCTTTAGCCTCATCTCGTGGGTGTGAGCTGTGTGTGGATTTTTTTTTCTTTTGCTGGTAACCATTCTTTTTTTGTTTTGTTCCCATTTTTTTCCTGTGTGCGTGTTTGTGCCATGTCTGTTTGTGTGCTGTGTCTCCCTGTCTTGTCGTCCTTTCTCCCCAATACTCTGCTGGTGTCTAGCTTTGAGCTTCGTGTTATTATTTGGAACACTGATGACGTAATTCTAGAGGACGATGCTTTCATGACAGGGGAGAAGATGTCTGACATCTATGTCAGGGGGTAAACAACACGATTCCATCGCATGGCTCGTAGAGAATCCTTGCTTTCCTCATCCTGAAGCCCTTCCTTGTGACCCCTGCTGTCTTAACTTTTTGTGCAACCTTGCTTGTTGCAACCGCTTCTATCAGCAAAATGCAAACAAATTCCAAGTGAAAAATTTGTGCAATAAAGATCAAACCACATGAGAAACTTGAGATTATATATGACCACAAATCTATTGTTTCTTTTTTAGTAACAGAGTTTTTATAACAATAAAGCTACAATAAACAGTTAACTAGAAAAAAATTAACAACAAAAAACCCTCAAAATGTTTAATGACTATTTTTTACAGACCAGATTTATGTTTTTTTTGTATTAGTTTGAGAAAAAATATATAATTTTTGTCCTGTCTAAACAATTCATTTTATTATAGACAGTTGTTTTATTAATATATTATTTCATAGACAATACATTCAGAGGATTTATTCATATAAACCAAATAACATATTTATAACAAAGTTCCAATGCAAAACAACAGGACATTAATCACCAGCAAATACATTAGAATAAATAAATACAGAGATTTAATAAGTAATTTATGTAAATGAAAAACAAGGGGCCAAAAATTGATCCTTGGGGAACACCACAAATAATTAAAATCTCTCAGACATATTGATTTCACACAACATGCTTTCTTCTATATTTCCATAAAGGAGCATGGTAAATTGTATTTGCTTTTTAATTATCTTTATTTTTAATATTGGAAGTTGCTGTCTGAAAACTAAAAAACTATAGCATTTATTTCAATTTTTTTATATTTTTGTTTTCAAAAACTGAGGATCTGACAGATTTGAAAACGAATCAAAGGATGTCTATAAACCATGTTGCCTGTTTAAATCTTTCCACAATTAATAATTAAACCCATATGATTTTTTATGATGTTATTTTTTGTTGTTGGTTTGTTTTTTTTAAAGCAAAACAAAATGCTATTGTGGTTTGATCTTGTACTGCAGTTGCAGTTCAACATTAATTGCACTTGAGATTTGCAAATAAAATAAATCTTGCATGAAAGCATACTGTTCTGTACACACACCAAGCACTTTATTTGGAGCACCACACTAACAGTGGGTTGCATTTTCCTGACCCTCAGTACAACTTCAGAAACGGGAGCACTCAAATCCACTGAACCTATTCTCATCTGCATGAAGCAATTCTGATCACTTCTGCATCGTCCCATTTGCCTGCATCGTGCTAAAAGTGTTTATTAGAAGATGATAAGTTCTGTGCAGCATTAATAATCAAAGAGACTTTGGGAATGAGGCAGTGACTGATTGATTTCATGAAGCCCAAAGTGTCTGAAGCAAACAATTCTAATCTGTACTCTGCATGTTCAAATTATTAATTTCATCTTGATTTGTTTTATCTTAACCACTCTACTTTCAACATAAAATAAGACAAAATATTTTTCCAGCTTTAAATTTTCAAGTTTGATTTTGCTCTATTTGCTCCAACCAATCCAGTCATTTTCTGCCAACTTTTCCAAACAACTAGTTAAGTTTGAAGAACTGCTGCTTACTGGCGGTTAGTTTGAGACTGATTCATGTGGCACCAACAATCAAAGTTACAAATCTTTTTCGCTCCTCTTCACATTTGACGTGAACAAAACCTTTTCACACATTTTACTGGAGATGTAAAGCTGTTTTTAATAAAGTGCTTGGAATTTCAGTGCATGCCTGTCTGACAAAGGTTTGAACTATGGTGCCATAAAGCAGCCTGGATTTGATTTATCATCAAATATATTGCATTGGTATTAGAGGATTTTTGTTGCCTTCCAATGCCTGCAACGCTTAAAGGAATAGTTTGGTTGTTTTTGAAGTCACAATCAGTGGAGAAGATAGAGCAGCCTGTATCTTATGTTAAATGTGCAACAGAACATAAAAAATAACAGGAAAAATCCTACAGGCTAGTAGATTTGCTTCTGAATACAGTAGTCCCTCGTTATTGCAGGTGTTTGGTTCTGGACCCCCCACCCCCCACTCCCACCTCACCAACAAATAAAAATCCACAAAGTAGCAATGTTATATCTATTTTTGTATTTATGTATACACAGTATATATGCTTTAGAAACACTTCCCACACTCTTGCAATGTTCTAAACTCTTAAACTTACATCATTTTAACAACATACGTACAGTAATGAATATGTAGCTACTAAATTTTACTTACCAGGCTCTGCAGAAAAGGAGCGGCTCTCGGTTCCGGTCTGACTGTTCCGGTCCAACTCGGTTTGTTTCTGCAGATGTAACCTACAGCAAAAAATCCCACAATCAATGTTGTTAACTATTAAATCTAGTAATTTTAACAATGTACTTATGTAAGTAATATGTAGCTAATATATTTTACTTACGGCGGCGCATCCCCGCTTGGAAGTCCTCGTGGGCTGGCTAGCAGCACTCGGGTTCATCGTTGAGTCTGGAGGTCCAGTTCTGGTCTGGTTCAGTGCAGTTCTTGAGTGCCAAAGCGCATCGAAAGATGGTGGTTGAAAGATTCCAAGTCTGGATGGAAAAAGTTACGATAGCTACAGAAACAGCCCCAAACTTACAGCGGTGCGTCCCCACTTGGAAGTCCTTGTGGGCCAGCTACCAGCTCTCAAGACTCACCGATGGGTCTGGAGGTCTGGTTCTGCTCCATTTCTGGTCCAGTTTGGTGGGTTTTGTGCGGCTTCTCTGTATCTGCTGGGCGCCAATCAAATCAAAACTTTACCTCTAGTTTTTCAGGAGAAGGGAACGGAGTTTCTAGGTGGGGCTCTGTTGCCTTCTGGGAAATGTGGTCGTCATGGGTGGGAATACAGTAGGGGCTTACTGAGAGAAAACTATAAAATGGTGGTGCCTGTCCAAAGTATTTTATTTTTCGTTAACTTTTTACTGTACAGTACTGTATCCAGTACTGTCCCAATCACGTGCGGAATAGTAAAGTTGACAATTATGTGTCCTGTACAATTTTTTGGTACAATATTATGTACTGTAAGGTCACAAACCGTGATAGAGCGAGTCCGTGAAAGTCAAACCACGAAGTAGCGAGGGACTACTGTAAACCTTAAGAGTAGCTGCCTACTGCAGGTAACATACTGATTGCTTCTGAGTGCTCTCCCCATTCCACTTCAAGAAAAACAAACTATTAAGTGAACTGAGAGTGCAGCTCCTCTCCTGTTCCCCCTGACTCATGAAGCCAGCTTCACTCTACTGTTAATGGAGCAGCTAAGAATGATCCCAAAGTTTTAATGCTTAACTTTAAAATTTTAAACGTCTATCTAATAATACGCTAAATGAATTGTTTTTATGTGGATTTTTGAAAAGCAGTATATATATGACGTAATGAAAACATAAAAGCCACATTGCATGTTGTGACTTTAACCTGGTTAGCCGAGTGGTTCTTTTAACGTGACCACATTCATTTAAATCACCAAAACTGATACTGAGTAAATGACCAACCACTGCAAGTTTCTATACGTTATTGTGCATGACTGGCAAAATCTGACAACAAAACCAGTGTATATACTGGTGTATTCGAAAATGGCTTCATTATCTTTGTTCATTTTTATAGATGGCTGAAAGGGCAGCAGGAAGACAAACAGGACACAGATGTGCATTATCACTCCCTGACTGGTGAGGGCAACTTTAACTGGCGTTTCGTCTTCCCTTTCGATTACCTCGTGGCTGAGGAGAAGATTGTTATTTCTAAAAAGGAGTCCATGTTCTCCTGGGATGAGACTGAATACAAGATCCCTCCTCGTCTCACGCTGCAGGTCTGGGATGCAGACCACTTCTCTGCTGATGACTTCCTGGGTGAGGAGCATAGGAAAAAAGCCCTATGCTATTTTATTTTTGAATGGCTGGTGATCATGTATTCACCTGTGTCTGTGCATGTATCCAGCTGTCTGTCAATTATCTCATGAACCATTGAACAAATTTTAATGAAATGGACTGTCAGGCTTCTTATATAAAAAAAATACAGATCCAGTTGACAGACTGATTTAATACATAGTCCTGACAAAATTATTGTCTTTTAGGAAAAAAAAAATCAATAACATTTTGATGGATTTCTTAGATATTGTTTAACATGTCAATGTTTATTGCAGTATGAATTATAATAAAGTTAGTGGCAGCAAAACAAACTCCTGCACACTGGTACACTTGTACTTATTAATTTGCATCACTTTAGTACGGTGGCCCTGAGGTGTAAATGAACAACATTTGAAAAAACAGAATTACATTAAGCCAAAACGGAAGTGGCCAAAGCCCAAGTGGCCAGAATCACATTTGAAAAACCAGAATTAAATTTGAAAAAATAAAAATAAAAAACAGAATCACATTTGAAACAACGGGATCCCATTTGAAAAAAACGGTTAGCTTGCTAACTGTAGCCTACCTCCGTTTTGTGTGTACTGTACATTGTTCTGTTGTTCTGTATTATGTTGTTAATAAAGTAAAAATAAAATACACACACCAAAAAATCACCACTTCCATTTTGGCTTAATGTAATTCCGTTTTTTCAAATGCGATTCCGGCCACTTCCGCTTTGGCCACTTCCGCTTTGGCTTAATGTATTGTTTTTTCAAAGTGTAATTCTGGTTTTTAAAATGTTGTTCATTTACACCTTAGGGCCACCGTACTTTAGTACTAAACGCTTTATCAGTCAAAATTATAACTTATAACTTAATAAAAATTTAGGTTTATTCCATAATTTATTTTATCACTGTGTATAAATTAACAATTTGTGATTTGGACCTAATACAAAGGCTTTAATTGCTGTATCTGTTTAGCATTAACCTTTTAGATTTTTAGCATTGGCATTGTACCTGATCCGCAATAATTATCAGGCTCTGCGTTGGGTCAAACCCAGGTGCAGACAGACACAGGGAACTCAAGGACAAAATAAAGAATAACTGTTTATGTAACAAAACAAAAGCTGTCATGGCAGCAAACTTACAAATCACACAGGATCAGGGAGACACGAAGGCAACAGAGCATGACAGCTATGGGAAGCACAATCCACAGACAAGGAAGAAACACATAGACACTGAACTTAAAGGGACACTAATGAGACACAATGATGCACACCTGGGGTGATTGGGATTGGGAACAGGTGAAGCAGGAGCTGACAACATGAGGGAATAAACAGAAGGCAGAACATTTGCTGTTTCACAGAGATGCATGGTGCCTGCTGGGTTCCACTAAAACAAGATTCTCTTGCTACATTTTGCAACAATATAAGTCTTTCACCCATGCAACATGCTAAATGTACACAAATATATTATTTTTAGAAACTGTGAGATAAGCAATGACAATATGATGGATTTGTGGTCAACACTGTTGCTTCACAGCAACAAAAAAAATCCTGGGTTCAATCGCCGTTTGGGCCTGGAGTCTTTCTGTGTGGAGTTTGAATGTTCTTCTCATGTTTACTGGGTTAAATAGAGGTTAATAAATAGAAATAATATGATGTAACAAATGCTTAGCCCTAAAAGCTAACATTTCTGTAATAGGCCTTGTGGAAGAGGAGGAAGGTATTCTAGTTGAACATTTTCTTTAAACTCTATATGTTAGAGAAGCACATTTTTACAGTCCTCGATGTCTGACTGCACTTCCAGGTGCGATAGAGCTTGACCTGAACAGGTTCCCTCGTGGGGCCAAGACGGCCAAGCAGTGTTCCCTCAACATGATTCGAAATGAGCAGGAGCTGCCCACCATTTCCATCTTCAAACAGAAACGGGTCAAAGGATGGTGGCCTTTCGTGGCCCGGGATGAGAATGATGAAATGGAGCTCACGGTACGATGTTTCGCCACCCTTCAACAAATAAAACAGTAGAACAAAGATGGAAGTAAACCCAAAATGATGAAAATAAAAACAAAACATAGTGACTATCTGCTTTTACTTGTAATTGTTTTCATATTTTTCTTTAGTTTTAGTATTTAAATATCTATAAAAATAGATCAGATATCAAATATACGTAACTTTTAGCATTAAAAAAAGAGTGACAATAAATAAATCTATTTGTTGCATTCTAAATTTACTGTGTTGTGAAATAATAAACGTCTTCATAAGAAACTGGATGTGATCTCAGGGTAAGGTTGAGGCTGAGCTCCACCTGGTGACGGGAGAGGAAGCAGAGAAAAGTCCCGTGGGGTTGGGACGAAATGAGCCTGATCCACTGGAGAAACCCAAGTAAGTCCGTAAAACTTTAAAAACACACAGTTTGGTTTCACTGTTAGAACATGCAGATGCTTTTGTGGAGCTAAAAAAAAAGGACAGATATGAACAATATTTTCATTTCCTTTCTTTGAAAATTCATTCTTGCTGTGCAAAAAGCAGCGTATCACAACATATTGTTTAAAATGTCTACAGGATTTTAAAAAGATCAGTGCTGTTTTTTGCATCGTCAAGTGGTCACTATTACACACTTGTTTCTCCTCCATCTCCTCAACTGTGTCCTTGTCTCTTCCCTCCCCGCATACCTTCCCTTTTTTGTGCACGTGACTCAACCTTTCCCCCTCTGTTTGCCACCTCGGCACTCCTCTGTCCTCCCTCTTTCTCTGCTTTCTTCTGCAAAGTCGTCCGGACACCAGTCTTATGTGGTTTCTGGGTCCTCTGAAGTCCATTGGTTACTTCATCTGGCGCAACTACCGTTGGCTGATCCTCAAGGCGCTGGGCCTGATACTGCTGCTGCTCATGCTGGGCCTCTTCCTCTACTCAATCCCAGGCTACCTTGTCAAGAAGATGCTGGGGGCCTGATGCGCTGGTAGCCTCTGTCCCCCTCCTCACTGTCTTTGATGGATTCAACTATCTTTACTAAACCTTCTTTCTTGTTCCGTACCTTTTTCTACCTATTTCCTGCTTTACGAGTAGAAAAGTTTTCATCATCACCGTATGTTGTCCGTGTTTTGTGCCACCAAGTACCATGATTCATCTCATGTGCGACTGACTGACAAAATGCAAACATTTGAAATAAATCCGGTGTTAAATCGACCGAATCTTTTGAAGCAGTTCATGCAAATGCAGTTTTATAAGCTTTTACATCACTGCCACTTTCATATTACACAGTCCTGCTGGCGGTGCCCCAGGATACATGAGAAAGTGCTACAGCTGGTTGCTGCCGCTGTTTGCTCTTACACCTTTTAAAATTCTATGTAAATAAATGTAATGTGAAATTGACAGTGTAATGGGCTACAACATAGTGTTTCTCAAACCAGTATGAAACTGAGTTATTTACTTTTGAAGTGAGTCCACTTCAACAAGCAGCATCAAAATCTGCTGTAAGGGACCTTGGAGCTTTTGGTTAGCTGTCCATTCATTCATTCATAAGTTTATTCATCGTCACCAACGCTTCTTTTCTGCATAATGCCGAACTTTGACTCTTTGATTTGTTTGTTTGCTCCTTGAAACATTAGATTGACAGACGTGAACTGTGAGCATGCTGTAGTGACAAATAACTCGCAACTGCAAAATGGCTTTCAAAGCACTAATGCCAATTTATTTTTCTCTCTTCCCTTCCACGCCCCATTGTTTTTTTATCCCCCATCCACTCTTACCTTTTTACCTTCCACTAATTTCCCCTTCTGTCCACCGGCATGCTTCCATCACCATTTCCCTACTTTCCTCCCATCAAACCTTCGTCTGCTCCACGCAGTCGCCCAGACACCACCTTCCTGTGGTTCCTGAGCCCGCTGAAAGCCATCCGCTACCTGGTGTGCAGCCGTTACAAGTGGCTGATCATCAAGATTGTGCTGGCCCTGCTGCTGCTCATCATGCTGGGCCTCTTCCTCTACAGCATGCCTGGATACCTTGTCAAGAAGCTGCTGGGCGCTTAGGAGGAAAGGCTAGGAGAGCGATGGGAGGGGGGGCTCACCCACTAGATGGGAAGCAGCGGGAAGTTTGATTGCATCATTTCCTTTTCTCCAGACCACTCTGATCCTTGTAATCACTCACCATCTTCCACTTTAGCATAACGAAGAGTCTAATAAAGCAACTGAAGTGACTAAAACTCATAATCATCGTCTTGACTCCATCCTTAAACTGACTAAACAGCAAATCATGTTCCACAATAGAACCCAGATTGAACTTTTTCTTGTTAAACAATGTTACATAATGATTTATCCTTATCTGTGCACACAACTATTCATTTATTAAGTAAAGACAGTCAGGTTAGTGGTCAGTCGATTGCATGTTTGCTCATTTTAAGTGATGCTGTGTCATCTCCCATTACTGATTTCTGTTTGATATTAAAGAACAAACCACTGATATTTTTGGTAACACTTTAACTTTGCCACCTTTTGGCTGCTTATAAACAACTAATAGAGAAATGGTTTTAAAGCTTATAAATTAATTTTATTTACACAGGACATTTAAGTAATGCAAAGGGGTAGATTATTAAAATTATATGAAATTATTAGATTTGCATTTTTATTAACTATTTGTTGAGAAATGCTACAAAGGTGGATCACAATAAAGTGTTACCTTTAATTAAAACAGTTTTAACTCTTGCAGTCTTTGCACATTCATATAATATAACAATAATAATAATAATAAACATAAAACATAGAGGTTTTTCCTTGTAAATTCACTAAGACACAGAACAAAATGACAGAGAATAATCAGGTAGGTAATAAACATTTTGTTTTTGTGGGATGTTAAATATTACATATTTATCCTCAAAGTAGCCTATTCAGATTAGATCAAGCAGTCTTTGTATATAACATGAGTTTTTATCATTAATACTTGAGACTTTCAAAGCACAATTCATCTGATTTTCTCTAAATAATGTCATAAGTTTTCTGTTATTGTGGATTTTGTATAAACACTCTTCAGTGCACTGTCCTGTCATAATATGCACATTAGTAAAACCTACTTAGCAGGACACAAATTGTTTGCAAATATAATTTAAAGTGTCCTCAGATAAAGAAACAAACACTTGAGCTGTCTTGTAAATCAAGGCTTGTGTGTTGATATGCATGCATCTCTGTGATAACTGACCAGAGGTTGTGTGTGTTGGCATGACTTGTAGCAAACCAAATCACCCACCTGGTTGTCTTTAACATCATCCATAATACAAAAATCGTTCTGTTGGACTGAGACTAAAGTGCACTTGAACTGAGTTTGGACACAATAAGAAATTGGAGTTTCCACATCAGTTGGCATTGTGTGTGATGCCTGTTACTTTCTTGAAACTTTTTTTTAACCATTGTTGACCTCATTTGTTCCAAATTTTGTTTGTGAATTGATTACCATGAGTTTGCACTAAACTTGCCTATGTTATGATGGATTTCTATATTTATATGTGCTGAAATGTGTTGCAATATATATATATTTTGCCTGTTTTGACACATTGAAATAAACTTGCGTCCATGGAAAACAAATTTTAAAAATGTAGTTACTACAGTCATTTCTCCCACTCAGAGAAAGTGATTAAAGCTTATTATTTCTTGAAGAAAAAATATGGAGCTTTCTGAAATCCTTCGGGACCAACTGAGTTTTGACACTTTGTGTGCAGCCGTCCCAGCACCAGCATGTCGTGGTTGCTGAGCCCGGCGAAGACGATGTGTATCCTGGCCTGGAGGCACTACAAGCTGCACTGTGTGGTGTTGCTGGCAGCTGCGATGGGCCTTCTCTTCCTTGCTCTGCTCGTCTTCTCTCTGCCCTCAGAGCTCAACCACAAACTGTTTAACACTGCAGGGTAGATCCACCATGCTGTATCACCCCTATGTCTCGTACAAAATGTGCAAAATTGTATTTTTCTTATTATTTTTTGTTCAATCAACTGCATTGTAAAACCATTTTCTTCAGAATTGACAATAAAATAAGCTTACATTTATCAAGTGCTTTTATTTTGATCCTGTCTTCACAAACATGCACTTTTCAAGTCCATCTTTTATGTCTTCAGTCAACCTGTGGGGGGAAAAAAATATGTAAATGGACTCTATCTTTATGGCACATATAGAATATTTATGTATTTTTTACTTCTCAAAGCTCTTAAAGAAGTCAGAAAGACTTTAAACACATTCATCCTGCTGTGCATGCACATGCTCTGTACATTCATACAATATTTCTTGGTTCTTTGTTCATTTTAATCCTGTGTAATGCTGTTTCTCTATTAAATAAACAATCAATCGGTAAACGACCAAGAAGCAAAGTATGTCTGAAAAACGAGAACAAACCACCAACTTTCCACTCGCAGATGATCCTTCTACCCCATAAGACTGACATGACGTTAAGTTTTTATTTTATTGAAATAATGGTAAATAATTTTATAAAACAGAGTTGCAGTTCAGAAAAGTTTTCATTTATATGTTATACTGTCAGTTCATTCAAAAAATAATTAGAAAATTATTTTAAAAAATAAATTTAAGTAACTCATTGTGAACTCATGAAGAATAGTCAAAAAGAGCTCACCAAGTAAGAAACAAAATCTGTACAATATTTTTGCTGTATTGATCATGAATGTGTCTTTAAATTTAAAAAAATTGTGATATGCCAACCACTCTATGCACTTGTTTGTTTAAGAAAACAGACAAAGTGACTGAAGGTCAGTGACGGCGACGTCCATGAAAGAGCCGTTTGCATTGAAGAAGTTTGACAATATTCATCTGTTGGTACATATTTATGTGCAGATATTTTGTATTAAGTAAACAGATAAAACCTGTTAAACTTCTTCTTTTGGCTTTTCCCTCTTCAGAGGTCTCCACAGTGAGTCATCCTCCTCCATCTCACTCTGTCCTCTGCATCCACTGTCCTCACTTCAACTGCATCCATGTATCTCCTCTTTGTTTTTCTCCTGGCAGCTGCATTTCTAACGTCCTTCTACCAATATACCCACTGTCCCTCCTCTGGACATGTCCAAAGCATTTCAGTCTGGCCTCTCTAACTTTATCTCCCAGTTGTTCAACCTGTGCTGTACCTCTGATGATCTCATTCCTAATCTTATCCATCCTTGTCAGAGTCAGAGTCAGAGTTTCTTTATTGTCATTCGCACCTCATGTGGTACATGTGGTGGAGCGAAATTATGTACACAGGGTTTGTCACTCCTAAAGAAGAACCTCAACATCTTCATTTCTGCCACTTCCAGTTCTTTCTCCTGTCTTTTTGTCAGTGCTACTGTCTCCAGCCCATACAACTTAGCTGTTCTCACAATTGCCTCGTAAACTTTTCCTTTGACCTTTGGTTGAAACGTTAAATATAAAAAAAGTTTTGTAAAAGTTGCATGTGTTTGAATACTGAGCACTGTCTGTATGGTGCTCTGTCTCCCTGCTTGATCCCCAACTTTTATTCTTCAGACTTGTCTAACTTATTCGTATTCTTTTATTTCACATCGAGCAGCAGATTAATTTTAATATTTCATCCTGAACGACCTCCTCAATTCTACACTTGTCCAATTCTGCAATATTTGTTTAGCTACAGTACAGACTACGATCAGACTAATGTTTATCAGTTATTGACCCAAGCTTCTGTGTGGTTTTCAACAGAATCAGCAGATTTGTTTACATTGAGAACATACTCATGTTTTAGAACTGCACATTAACAGATCAGGAAAACCATCCATCATTATCTTCTGCTTATTCCAAAGTCGGGTCGCGGGGGCAGCAGCTTGAGCAGGGAGGCCCAGACATCTCTTCCCACAGCCACTTCTTCCAGCTCTACTGGGAGGACCCCAAGGCGTTCCCATGCCAACCAAGAGACATAAAGTCTCTCCTGTGTGTCCTGGGTCTTCCTCAGGGTCTCCTCCAAGTCAGACATTCCCAAAGCACCTCCATAGGGAGGTGACCAGGGATCATCCTTACCAGAGTTTGTGACCATAGGTGAGGGTAGGAAGTTAGGAACGTAGACCGACAGGTAAACAGAGATCTTTGCCTTGCAGCTCAGTGCCTTCTTCACCACAACAAACTGATGCAGAGTCTGCAATACTACAGATGCTGCACCAATCCGTCTGACAATCTCACGCTCCATTCTTCCCTCACTCGTGAACAAAACCTCAAGATATTTGAACTCCTCCACTTGAGGCAGAACCTCGCCCTCGACCTGAAGAGAACAATCCACCCTTTGCCGACTGAGGACCATGGCCTCAGATTTGGAGGTGCTGATTCTCATCCCATCTCATCAGGAAAACTAACTGCCCAATTTGATTGAAATCAAGATAGCCTTTTCATTTATTTTTTATTTTATAGTTTACCATAAGTCGCTTTAATAAACTTTGAAGCAAATCATAAACGTTTGAACAAACATTAACCACAGCACTGGATTTAGTATAAAATGTTTTCTCTTATTGTTCTCATAAATTTATTTTATGATCATTTGTTAAACTGATACATATGAATAGACTGTCTCACTATATTTAATTTTATTCATAAAAAAAAATAAAATTCAGATATTTTTGCTTTACCACTAAGTATTTTTCTTTTTTATAATAACAAAATAATGCAAACATGATGCAGTTTTGTTACATGCAATTGTTGTTTAGAACAGCCAGCAATTTAGTTTGAAAATGTTTTATGCCTTTTTAGTTTTGTTGTAGCTCATATTACAGTATATTCCCATCAAAACTAATTAGTGAATTATTAAATCTACATCCAGATGGACATTTAAAAAAATAACAAATTCTAAGTTAAGTCATGCCATCTCTATATTTAAAGTTATCATGCTGTCACAATGAGGTCTGGTAGAGATGAACTATGATAAACAGAAAGAGACATACTGTGGAGGTGAGACGCTGCTGCAGCTGCATCCTCAGCTCTGCGTTTTTCTGCTTCAGATTGTTTGTCTCCAGAGTGAGATCAGAAATCTCTGTCAGCACAGCACTGAAAACA